TTAACAACCCACTGTTGCCAACTCAGCAACTTTCTTGCTGTACTTAAGACATTTCAGACAAAATAAAAAATGTGTTTTGTCCAAAATCGGACCTCTCCTCAGAACTGCCTCTAGCCACTCACCCAGGTTGACGAAGCTCATCACCGTGTCGGCCTCGCTCACCACGCTCCCCAGCGGCGGCGTGTGCGTGCTGAGTGTTGGCAGCGCGGCGTAGTTGACCTGCACGGCCGCCCCGTACCTCCCCAGGCCCGGCCCGTTCAGCGCCATCTCGTCCTCGTCGTCGGCTGACATGGCGTGGTACAAGTCCAGCATGAAGAGCGGCGCCGACGAGGGCGGCCTGAGGGGCGGGTGCGGTCTGGGTCGGCCCGGCAGGCCCAGGATGTTCAGGATCTCCTTCTGCATCTCCTTCTTCTCGCGGCCACTGAGCCGGCGGAAGCTGGAGTGGACCACGGCCTCGGCCTGCTGGGTCCACAGCAGGACGGACAGCAGCAGGAGCGGCAACAGCAGGGTGGAGCTGGTTCCAGGGTCGGGTCTGGTTCCAGGTCTGCCCCGCAGGATCTGGTGCAGGTTCATCCTTCTGGAGCGCCGCTCTCCTCCAACTGCTGCAGCTCAGTCACCGCAGACAAAAACAGCCGAGATTTATGCCTGAGGTGTTTAGACGAGCGCCGGCTCTGTTTACCTCTAATCTCAAATCAGAAGGAAAATCCACCTCTCCCCTCAGCGCTCAGTCACGCAGCAGCAGCAGAGGCGCGCATGATGAGAGTCGGCATAATTACAAGCTATTCGAGCTGCTGTGAATATAGACAAAAAAAAGAGAAGCTTTGAAGCTGTAAACGTGAAAGATGTGGAGCAATTTTAGTGATGAGTGGGTGCTGGAGAGGAATTTGGGAGCGTTGTCATTAGGTTTAGAGTAATTCTCCTCTGGATCCAGGATGAGAGGAAGGAGTTGGAACCGGCAGGGATTCCCCAGGAGAACTTTGACCTGCTGGTCGGCTCAGGAACGGTCCGGTCCCGGTTCGATTCTCATTTCCCAGCAGAGGTGAGACGACTCTGCGCTCTGTGGACGCTCTGCCGAGTGAATCCTGAGCAGCTGTTCACAAGCAGGAGGGAGTTTCCCTCCTCCTCCTCCTCCTCTCTTCATCGCCACCCCTCCCAGAGGTCTCCTCAGGAGACCTCATCTCACCGCCACACTTCTACCTCTTCATCAGCTTCCTTTCCTTCACTTAGTCGTAAATTATTTTTATGTTTACAACAGAAAATTAAATGCACTTTTTAACTCTGAGCTGATAAATCCTCTATTTATCGGTTCGGTGGAGTTTTCCTGCAGCAGGTCTAGAGCAAACATCCGCGCTCGGGTCCAAACCAGAAGGACTCTGAGGGAAGAAATGATTAAAATAGAGTAGAGAGGTTCAGCCCTGTGCCCACTCATGTTTGTGCACTCTTCTCTTCAAAGCGGGCTCGGTTCTTGTGGTCTCTTTGAGCGGAACGAGTAACACTGACCAAACCAACGCGGTCGCCGTCATTTTTGCTCGAGGCCAAAAGCAAGTCCCCGAAATGCCAGGAATTAATGCGCTACCCGCTTTGCTTTGTGCACACGCCAAATCCTGAAGGATTTATCAGGAGAGGTGAAAGCACCGAAGAGAAAATATATATAAAAAAAGAGGGAATGTTTGCCTATGAAACTAGAATAACCCAACAGAAATAAAAAAAGGCATTCTGGGAGGAAGAAGTGAAGGACTGTCACCAAAGTGAGGGGGTGAAGATGGATGGAGAGTGGACAGCAAACGAGTGGTCTGTGAGAGTACACACAGCTGCAGAGGAACAACTCAAACCATCACATAAACACGACAAAGTTTCAAAACTTCCACCACCGCCTGAGTAAAACCAAAAACATATCCCGGTCTGGGCAAGGCAAACACAAAGTTTAGCTTATTTCTCCCAAAGCACCACCTGCCTCCGCTCTGTGTTTACCTCCTCTCTGTGCAGAGAAGTGAAGATCCAGGCGGGCACGTCTTTATCTTCTGCATTTCGAACACCTCAATTACAGAGAAATGTCCGGCGACTGGCTGCGAGTCTGGGCTCTGCCATCAGACACGAACGGAGGCACGCACACACAGGAAGAGGGAAAAACAAATTAAGTTTGCTTCACTTCTCTCAATAAATTTACACTTTGACGGAATACCAACCAGGCACTCGGAAAAAGAAGATGCAAACATCTGCATAACTCATGCAGGCACTGCTAACATGCATGTTTTCATTTGGCTTCTGACCTTAAAAAAAAAAAAAATGACAGTTACATTTAGGAACAAGTCACAGAAATCCAACAACATAAAAAATTATTGGATTTTAAAATACAACTTATCTTTAATCTGCTCTAGTTTATAAACTACAATACTTAAACTTTTTAAACCTGGGCTACATTAATCTGGATCAGTTCCAATATGGTCAGGGTGCAAAAAACTCTTCTATAACCTGTTTCTTTTAACTTTCAAAAGTCAAATAAAAGTTTCATAATTTGCAAATGAGTTTGAATTACTCTGCTGTGTAGAATACTCTAGTCCAGGTTTGACTGGTGTAAATTTTTAAATTATATCAGATTAAAAATGCTCATGGTAGTGAAAAATTAAGTGGAATAACATAGTAGCCTTTTTCAAAATTAGCCGCTACAATCAAAAATTAACTTCATCCTTGTATGAATATCTCCATTATCTTCCATAGCACTAATGAAACGTTAAACCCAAATTCAAAACTTTGACAGACTTATTGACTAAACAAGAACCAAAACCAATATTTTAATACATTCATATTCAATGACATGTTTATGAAGATTTGGTAAAGCTCATTTGACAGCGCAGACTAAAAAAATTAAGACTGTGTTTTAGTTTTTTGAGTTACTGCCGTTGGAAATTGAAGTAACAAGATGGCGGATGTGCGATATTAGCGTTCTGGTAATATTTGCCAACTTCGACATTCTTTCAACAGAAACGTACTATTTTCTCTGGTAAGACTGTTTTTGTGCACTTTTTATTGTTCTCATATGTTTACAAGCTTATGAAATGATTTCTGAACAAGTAAAGTGATAAATCCAAACCTGAAAGTCGTCATTTTCCAGGTTGCACAACGCCAATGATGACGTAAGAGAGCGTCCCTTCAGACATTTCCCGGGCAAATAGTGGAATGAACCATTATGCGATTTTGGAGGGGGCGATCCAAAGATTAGACATTTTAAAACACTTGTCTCAGATACCCAAATACGTTAAATGTTATCTAAACATTTATACATTACGCTTACAATTAACTGTTTAGGGAATGTTGGCTGTAAACACATTTATTTACATACCGAGAACAGAACTGGATACCTTTTCCCCCAGTAAGATTTCAGGCAGCACTTTCAGCATAAAATGTTTTTGGCTTTACACAGTTAATCTGTTTATCATTTCAAATCCAATTTCAAAAGATATATAACTTTGTTGTAATATCTAAAAACCCATTTTGCACCAAAGAAAAGTCCCCAACTTAATAATACTAATAAAACACTTGCAACTTATTCAAAATGGGCACCAGAAAGTGGCATGGTAGTTACCAGGCAGTTGCCAACGCATTTAACAGAATTACCGTCGACCCCTGCCTATTCGTGGTTCGGTATTCATGGATTTTTTTAATTTTTTTTTTATAAAAAATGTATAGAAAAACCCATCTTGGACAAATTAAATACCTTACACAATGCTAATTGACCTGTTATTGGCTGGTGTTTGCAAAGCAAAAGATCCAGGATCTCCACATTTTTTTCCCCCGGAGAAGACTGTAGATACTAGTTCTGGCCTTTGGAGTCTTAAAATTTGCACTTTTAAAGAAAGTCTCAAGTATTTTTGTGTTTTTTAGTTATTTCAATGGGTTCATTGTACTGGTACTTGGAGTTTGACAGCCATTTTGTTGCCACAACTGCTTCCATAGAGTTTTATCTTCAGGACTTTAATTTCCTAAACTCAAAAAGTTTGATGAGTGTAAAATCAAAGAAAAAACAAGACCAGAGGCAGTTTTATTGCAAGCATACTTTTTTAATACAAAAACAGAAAAAAGTTTATAATTTTAGTTTATTGTTTTAATTTTACACAAGTGACTCCCTGTAACACCCCCTCCTCCCTCCATGTTGACTTCATCACACTGAGAGGACTGCAGCATCAAAAAGGTGGAGTAATCATTTCCCCCTCAGAGAGACAATAAATAAATAAAAATCAACCTTAAGATGACTTCTTGATGTAATTTCATTAGTTTCCATAAACTTCATCTCTTAATTTGAGAAAACACTTGGACAACGTGGCCCTGTCAGCAACAGGACATTTGAAAAAACCCTAGAAGAGACATTGTCATTCATATCTGTGGTTCATCTCTACACATGAAGGGCAAACCCCTTTGGTCAGGAAAATGTAGTAGTTAGCGATAAAGAAAATTTTACAACAAGGCTGCCACTAGAGGGCGCCCCAATGAGCAATGTAATGTCACAATAGTAGAGTAGAAACACGCTTTTACACACAAACCATGTCAACAAAAAAAAACAAAAGCAGAGTGGGCATCTTCTCGGTACAAAAAAATCATAATTTCTTTAACCATAATACTAAATCACTCTCTGCCGACGGTGATATGACGAAAAACTGAAAAATAAATAAATCTGTCTTTCAAGCTAAACAACAAAAAAGTCCAACTGGTTTATAAATTAATCAGAAAACATTTGCAAAGTAAAATTTTGCATACAGTGACTCAAGTCAATGACCTCTGCTGCTTCCTGTAACAGACACACACACGATGCACGTGTGTGTGCGCAGCGGGGTCACTAAGGGCAACACAGCGGCAGAGGATTAGTGCATGCTGGTTGTCGAACTCTTGCAAACACGGTTGTTAACATCATGTTAAGGTTACGCATGTTGTATATTGTCAGTAATGTGCTGTTAGTTGTCACCATAAAAATAGTCCTTTCTATTGCTAGCTTGTGATTTTTGTGTAAAAAAGGAGAAAAAGAAACCACACCGCCCTTTGCTGAAATGCACGCTTGGGGCTGAGGGGAGCGTTCCAGCGGTTGGGCGGAGTCACCACCTCCACCGATCCTCACAGGAAGTGTGTGTGCGTGTGTGTGCGTCAGACAGCGTTTCCTCAGCTCCGCCGCTGCTGAGGTGACGGTTTTCTCGCCAAGCGACAGACATGGCAGTCGTTGCATATTTTCTCTGTTGACGCATCCTTGAGGCATCTGGACCACAAGTAAAAATAATTCTCCCACAATTCTTTTTCTGTTTGTGTAGCTGCGGCGTTGGCGGCGTGCCCCGATCCGCGCCACGCAGCACCGCGCCCCGCGCTCTACGGGTCCGAGTGTGCGTCTGTCAGTTAGAAAGCCGGACATCTGATCACGACAATGTGTGTAACATAAAGTAAGGCAGCATCACGTTTGAGAAGAGGAGACTGGAAGGCAAACTGGGGCTTTAAAGGGGGAAAAGTTCTCGCTGACCCCTCGGATTCTGGTCCAGAGACCTTCTCCTCTTGTGCATGTCTTCAAGACTTGGGAAGGAGTGAGAGGGAGATTTACTCGGATCGCCATCTCCTTCATTCCCCGGAAAAACATCACTTATAGTGCAGGATTTTCACACCAGCCGTCTGGATGAAGAACAAGAACACCGACTGATTCTTCAGCTGGTTTACTTCTTCGCAGACCCTGGCGTCTTGGGGCTGGGAGTCTTCTTCGATATAGTTGGGATCTTGGAGGGTTTGGTGGCGCTGCCGGGCCGCCTTGGCGTGTCTGAAGTGTCGGAGCAGACGGAGCGAGCGTCCTGAAGCTCCGAGGCGTCAGACGCGTCGCTGCCACGGCGACTGCTGGCCCGGCTGCCCGCTCTGCTGCCGGCGCGGCTGGTCGGACCGCTGGCCGTCGCCGCCCCTCGCTTTGGATCTGATGGAGAGAGTTAGCAGTTAGCCGACGCGGAACTGAAACCCAGTCAACCAACTGGGTTTCAGTTGGTTGACTTTTGTAAGTCAACCAACTTAAGTCAACAGCTATTTCTTGTGCAAATAGCTTAGTACACTTGAAATAAGACAAAACTAACTTTTCAGCAAAATACAAGAGCCAACAACTCCTTAATGTTTATAAAAAGTACTAGTTCCACTGAGATTATTTTTACACAGAGCAAAGGAAAAACCCTACACCTTTTTCACTTCTATAGGTGAAATAATATTTTTTTAAACAAATATTAAGGAATTATTGACTTAAAACAAGCTCCCATATCTTGCTGTAAAGTTATTTATCTGTCTAATTTGAATGTACTAAGATATTTGCACTAGAAGATTTTCCGTTTTTGTATCTGCACATATTTCAGGATTTTGTGCATCCATTCAAAGAATCAGAACAAGTATAAACACTGCAAAAATACTACCAAGTATTTTTATGCCAATATTTCAGAACACTTGAAAGAACTAATTTGCAATTAACAAAGAGTTTATTTTAAGTCAGTAATTTATTAATATTGATAAATTGTATTAGTTCCACTTACAACATTTTCCCCATGTTACCAGTAAAATAATATTCACTGGAAACCGTATAAAAATACTTGGTGAAATTTAGTGTTTTTGCAGTGAACTCGCCTGTGCGCTTGCTGCTGTGCGGCGTTCCTCCGTTCTCTCCGGTCAGCGAGCCTCGACTCGAGTGGAACGTCGGCCTCTTCAGTTTGGAGCCAGACGCCGCCCCCTGCCGGACAACACAGGAATGACTTCACGGTTAGCTGACCGAGCAGCCATTTTAAAACTGGGTCAACAGTTTGACACAGAAGCAGAAAACAGAAAACACAGACAGATCTAAAACACACAAACACAGTTACACTTTAACACAATGCTACAGCCGAACAGTGAAAGGTGTTTAATTCATTTATGACATGAAAACTAGAAAAATATTTATGAAGAAAACATTTAAATATTTAAGTGGCTGATACAGTTAATTATTCAGATTTCTTTCAAGTTATTTTTAAGTTAAAATTTTTGTTTAGAAAAAGCCTACAAAACAAAATTTATAAAACAAAATTTTCTAAACTGCATCATGTCAGGGACATTATGAGACCAATTTGTTAACCTGCTCCAGGTTATTTAATGCCCAAGTTAATTTTACTCAATTTCCACATTCTCAAGTTAAACTCGCAGCATAAAAATAAATCAGAAAATTTATGCTATAAAGGTATTTACAGAACAAATAAAATAAATCACAAAACAAATATATTGACTTAATAATCAAAATTAAAAATGATTTCTAAATGTAATTATTGAGGTGAAATGTTAATTTTTATATACATTTTTAGATGTCACAATAATATTTATGTTAGTCTCTTAACAAGTGGCTTATGTTATTTCTACAATATTACTGTTCATGCACTTTATGTACATTTTTGGAAAAGTGATCCGACTCAATTGGAAATAGTCCGATATTCCTATTTCTAATAACTGCACAATATTTTCCGTTTCAGTCTTGTGCAGTTTATTACCATTATTACTACTATTATTGTTAATCTTATTTTTTTATATATAGTTTTTATATACACCTGAGTTTCCTCTGTGCAGGACAATGAAGGCTGTTTTTCTATTTATGCTGCAGCCCAGCCAGTTTCATCCTGTCAGGATTTAATTTGACTTTGAACAAACAGGGGTGTCCAAAGTGCGGCCCAGGGGCCATTTGTGGCCCTTGGAGTGATTTTGTGTGGCCCCCAACTGCAGTTAAAGAATGATACAAATCTGGTCTGTCAAAACTATTTAGTTTTAATCAGGGTAAAAATGTTTATTAACATAATTTTCTTAATTGCCTTTTTATAACCAAGCTTTCATAATAAGTTGAACCACATGTATGTAGAGGCTTTAACTGAAAAACTGACTTTTAAACAGATTGTATTTAATTTATTAAACTTGGCTGAATGTAGCAAATATTTTTAAAGAAAGTGACTCAAAAGTTTTTCTTGTAATAGAATAAATTCACACAACTTCTGTGCAAATTCATTTACAGTTTTGGATCTAAAATGAATAACATTTTCTTTCAAGAAACAACAAAATCAGACAACTATAATTGCTTGATTTTATTTTTAACCTTTTTTTTTATAGCCTGCCACGCGGTGCAGTGTTAGTGCATTAGCTCGGTCAGAAGGGCCAGGGGTCGGAGGTCAGGGTGGGGAGGCGAGTGGGGAGGTTGGAGGTGAGTGCGTTACCTCGTGCCCAGGAGCGCTGTGGTTGTGACCGAGGTCTGGGCAGCAGTGGCACTTGGTTGGCGTTGGAGTTTTACTGTGTGCAAGCCAGGGCTTGGCATAGTCACGCGAGTGAGTGAGGGAGGACTGAAGGGAAGAAGGGAAGGAAAGGAGGGAGCAGAGCCAAGCAGCGTAGGAGGGAGAGGAGGAAGAGGAGGGAGCGGGTTATGGAGCAGGAGGTTTGGAGGGCAGCGCAGGGTGTTGTTGTGTAAGAGCAGGTCAGCAGAAATGGTTATAATTTTTTTTTTATCAAACAGAGAACCAGACGATGCAGGAAGTTTTTTTTTTTTTTGATGGGATGTTAGCAGGGTTGAAAACAGGAGAGAAGGCAAAAATATATATAAAAAAACAGAAAAAACACAAAGAACAAACATAAAACTTCAGAGTCAAGGATGTGGTGATTTCAACAAGAGGATGACGATAAACATGAAACAGAAAATACACACAGAACCTCCTGCAGTCCAGTCAAAACCTGGACAGAACCAGCGCAACGTGTGTTCACTCAAGTAAAAAACGGCCAGTCAAGAAATTAAAAAGTACTTGGCAAAATATAACGGAGTATTACAGCTATGCCAAGGAAAAAAATAAAAACAAATTACTAGAATAAAGTCATATGAAAATAAACTCATAAGAGAATAAAGTCGAAATATTACATGAATAAAGTCATAACTTTATGACTTCAATATCACAATATTATGATTTAATATCAATATCATGTTATATTAGTCATGATATTATATCATATTATGAATTTATTTTCATAAACATTAACTATTTCGTAAAAAACAAAATCGTACCCAGACCTTATATTTTGTCGAATTCAAAGTTCAAATAAAATTGTCAGAGACGATGGACTCCAGAATTAGTAGAAACTTTCCAACTCTTTCCTTGAACTTTTAATTAATTTTAGCACAAAACTCGAGAACCTCGTCGTTGATGACAAAACTATAAAAAATGGCTGACAAATGAAATAAATCACCTTTAAAAATAATACTCAAGACCACTTTTATGAGTTTGACACTTCACATGCCACATTTTGAAGGTTTTTCTTGCTTTCTCACGATGTGGCGTATTTACAGGGTTTCTCCACGATTCACTAACTCCAACTTAAGATGTTTTAAAGCCTTTTAAAGGCCATTATGAAGTAAATTTCAAACCTATATCTATGCAACTTTGTCCAACAAACTGGTGATACTTTCCATCATAGTGCAAAAAAAGCTAACAGGCAGGCTAGCTAGGACGGGAAAGTTAGCAGTGTGCTAGCGTATTGAGTCAGAGTGCAATGAAGATGTCAGAAAAGTCCCGCAAGACAAAACGATACACAGAATATGAGATCAAATAGCTGAGACAAAATTTAAGACCTATGATTAATGTACTAGAGGCTAACTTACCTTTTCAAATGATTTTGTAATTTAAAGGCCTTAATTTTAGATGTGTGAGTTTAAGACTTTTTAAGGATGACCTGATTTAGCCGTCATAAGGCAGAAAATCATACCCTAGATGAAGCCGAAGCCGTCGGTGTGGCAGGTGTGGAGGGAGCCGACGGGAGCGAGGCGCCGCTGTGGGAAGCTGAGGACGACGAACGGGTTGGCGAAGCGTTTCGTGAGCCCGGTTTGGAGCGTCGACCCCGAGAGCGGAACGCAGCCAGGCCCTGAGACGCTCCTTCAGGAAGGATGAACTTTTCCCTCAGCTCCAGGTTGGTGCGACCTCGAGCTGCAGACAGAGACGAACACAGAGCGAGCAGAAACAAATAGTCAGTTTTTCCATTGTTTTTAGTTCATCTTTGCTCCTCCAGCAGGGGGCAGCAGAGGCAGCGAGCAGAGTGAGGGAGGGAGAGTCGGTGCTTCCTTGGCTGCAGACATCACAGTCGGTGCATGTTTCATTTGAGAGTGCGCATGAGCAGAGCGCGTGTTTGGAGCAGTGGAAAGGTCAGGAGGTCATGAGATTAAAGGTTGTGAGGAGGAAAGTGAAGTTGTGCAAGTGCAAAGGAAGGAGAATTAATTCAATATTCGCAACAAAAGCCAACCAGCCATGGAGACACACCATTATTGCTGCTTCTTAAGCTTTGAAAAGGAAAACCTGAACCTCTCCAGCGCCACCTACTGGCTTCTGTTCATCATAGAACATCTGTAAACCTCCAGAAACACTATTCTCCATCCTACTTACGCTTTCTCCTTCCCTTCTGCAGTTACATCACAATGTCATCTGCAAACATCATAATCCTTCCGTCTCTCAGGCTGCACACCTCACCACTGACTCACGTACTTCCTCCTACTTTTCCTCCATCCTTCATGCTTTATAGGAAACAAACTTCTAAACCTTTGTGGAGAAGTCTTAACTAGATGTACAACCCAGTCCTTCTAGGATGTTGCCATGTTTTTTTGTGATTGCTGCAGCATAAACTGATTGATTTTGCAGCACGTTTTGAAAAGATTGTGGTCAAAGTTGCAATTTTTTAAGCTTTAGTTTTGCCATAACATGGTTTTAAAAAGAGTACGGCTGCAGCAAACTATTATTCTATCGATTATTCTGATAATTATTGATTAATCAGATGAAAAAAAGTGGCATATTCTGCAATTTATTCATTTAACTACAACATTCCTTTTGTGGTATTCCTTTAGTGAATGCTTGATCATTTCTAGCAAAGGATGCATCTGCCAAAAAAATAAAAAATAAAGAAAATAAAAAACTGCCAACCTCAACATGTGAAAAGTTCAGGCCTTTCTGCTGACAGTAGAGCTGATCTGGTGATTAATTTGTGGATTAACTGATTAATAACTGGTAACAAAAGGTGGAGCTAAAAATGCCACATGAGGAGTTCTGAGTGGAACAAAGAAGGTTTTTTCATTTTTAATTCAAAATGTTCAAATTATTACTATTGTTCTTTCAGAAAATTACAGTTTTTGAATTTGTATACTCCAGTTAATTAATCGATTACTAAATTAGTTGACAATTACTTGAATAATTGATTAATCACTCTTAATCATTTCAGCCCTGCAAAAAAGCTGAAACTGCTACATAATCTTCCCTAAAACGAAAGGATTTTAACATAGTAAATATTTAAAGAGTGAACATTTTCAAGTACCTCTAATACAAATAAAATAACGTCCTGAAGAGAAAATATAAATAATAATTCAATATTTGTCATTAGAGTTAAAGTGAGCTGTTTACACGGTATGAGCAAATCCTGCAGAATATCTCAAAATGTTTATTTAAAAAATGTTGCTGTTTAGCGTCACTCATCCTTTCATCTTTCATGTTCAGCTTTCAACAGGAAGTTAAATTAGACGACGGCTAAATCGATAAGTCAAAGTACAGCAGAGTCGCAGTGATTGGTCAGAAAAGAGGAAACACAGAAAACATTCAGACAGATTTACAGAAAAGTTTGCAAGTCCACCTAAAATTTGCAAAGGATGACTGAATTAGTTGCATTAATAGTTTTGATCATAGCGTTGCAACTTCTTGGAGGGATTGGAAAACAACATATGATGAAGTTGAGATCAGATTTAGATTATTTTATTTCTGCTTTTACGCAGAAAACAAACACCAACTCATGATGAAGCTCCTGAATGTTCATTTCAGCTGAAAAAACCCAAAAGTTTGGTTTTGCTTCAACAATAAATCACTTGAACAGATGTTGATGTGAACTCTGAATCTAATTAAACCTTGAAAGCATCTCCAGTTTTCTGACATGAATGAAAATCCTAAGTTCCCTGAATGATGGCAGCACTTTCATTGCGTAGCTTCCTCTCTGATTAATTGGTACGTTCCTCCCAGCTCCTCTGTGTTTGCACAGCGTGAGCGTAAATATTTGCTGTAGGCTGGTCACGCGTGTTCAGGGTTTCTCCCTTCGTCTTAAAACACTCAGGCAGCATTCTTGGACGGAAAGTGGTGCAGCAGCACCGGCAGACAACAGAGAAGCCCGGAGAAGCCAGCCACAGAGAGACAGTGAGGAGGGAGATCGAAGCTAAATGAGAGGAAACAAATTGAGCTTGGACGGCCGTCGTCCTGAGCAACCGGCCGGTCAGTTCAGACGGGTGCAGCCTGCAATCATGTCCCCACATGAAGCCAGCCAGCCAGGTGCACCCTGTAATTCTGTCTCCCACCAACCAGCAATCACATTTAAAGGAGCCGCTCTGGAAGCAAGCGCTGTTAGAAACCCAGCCTGGCCACGCCCGGGTCGAAGGCTCCGCCCCTTTCTATTTAAATGACAGTTCACCCATTAACCATCGATAACTAATGAATTTATAGCTATAAAGCTGTTTGTGTTTCTGTGAAATGACCTGCAGAAAAGCACTACGCCTCCTCAGGCTGAAACAAATCAGCCGTTTTCACATTAAACTGTCTTACAGCCGTTGTTGACCATCGCTAAGAGATGGCGTTAGAAGACCAGGGCTTGGCCAGGTCCTGCTTTGGTTGTGAGTGAAGAAAGCATGAGGCAAACATGTGGCACAGAGACAAGACTGAAAGCAACATCTGTGCACTGAAACATTTAGAAACGACACACAAACATGGAGTAGGGGTGGGGCAAAACTCTGGAGACGTAGGTTGATGCTTAATCTGTACAATAAGGCACATTTTTGGTACCTCTCTGCTTTTCGCAGGGAGATTTTATGAAGAAACTTGAAACTATCGTATGATTGCTTTATCATTCATCGTAACGCGGGGTAACCGTTGCCTCCCACCCCTAACACGAACACACGTGAGACAGCTGATGTTAACGATGGAGGCTGACAGCTGGACGGACAGATGGAGTTATAAGATCAATGAAAAGGTGCGAAAGACAGAGAGGAAAGTGTAGATACCTCGGCAGCAGAAATAGCCAGGAGTGACTGTCACTGAGAGACACAAGAGACAATGTGAAATAACTGCATGCTCGAGGTGGGATGAAGAAAGTTTTGGACACAAATACAAACACACACACACTGCAAAAACACAAAATCTTAAGCAAATTTGGTCTTGTTTCTAATGGAAGTATCTTAGCACACTTGAAATGGAACAAAACTAAGTTTAAAGTAATTTTTCAGAAAGATATAGGAGAACCTCTTATCCAAAATTCACATTTTTATTTTTCCGTTTGGGTTTCACCTGCTTCAAAAACAACCCAAGTACTTTAAAAAAAACACCAAGACATTTTCTGGCAATAAGTTTTCTTTTTGTTTCAAAAACCTGTGGAATGTAACGTCTTTTCAAAGATGTTCGGTTGCATAACTGCAGCATCTGTTTGCAGCCAGTTTCAGGTGCGAGTTCAAACGTTGTCTTGTTCCACTGGCAGATTATTTCACCAGTGGTCAGCTGATTTACAGGACAGACCAAGTTAACGTCACATAACACGTTAGCTTAACGCAACATAATGCTGATAGCATTGAGCTAGCATTAGCTTTATAGCTAATTTTGACTTCTACACCAAAGTTACTGGCGTACTGAATGGATTAAGTAAATGTTAGTCATCATGCTAGTGTAAGCTAACATATTTGGTAAATCTTGTTCCACTGGCAGATTATTTCACTTTTTTCACCAATATTAAAGAATTATTGACTTAAGCCAAGCTCCCATATTGTGCTGAAAAGTTACTTTTAAGTGAGATCCGTTGCATTTCAAGTGTCCTAAGATATTTGCACTAGAAACTAGACCAAAGACACCCTGTAAGATTTTATGTTTTTGCAGTGCAGAGGCGATACTTCTTGAATAAAAAACATTTAGATACACAAAAGGCTCCAGATGACAGTCTGTCGCCCCCAAAAATGACAACATTCAAAGATTTCAAAGCTTTTCCAAGCAGGGGAAACAGTACAACCGGGAAGACATTACGTTAGTCTGGAGATCACAGTCAGCAACAAGAAAAGAGGCAAAGATGATGCGACGAGAGATAGAGAAGGAAGACACCTGGGTGGGACTGTCCACGTAAAAACGAAACAAAAAAGACACGCAGCTGAGAGAAAATGTGAGAGAAATCCAACCTATACGAGATGAGATGGAGCTACTGGAATCGGAGCGGAGAATCTTAAGTCCTGGATGTTTCACTGAGGAAAGAGAGAAAAAAGGGAGGGAGAACGGAAGGAGGAGAGGAAGAAAAACTGAGGACCATGCATCATGCAATACTACCGTTTAATTTCATAAAGTATGGAGAGAGAGACAGAGGGAAGGGAAGAGTGAGTACATGGAAATAAAACTTCAAATGGAGAGGATGGGAACAAAGAGACATGGCTCCGATCGGAACAGACGATCAGATCTTCACTGCTTCACCTGCTGGCAGACGGCTGGACAACGTGAAGTCATTTCACAGTTTAATGACTTGAACATGAATCCAAGAGCCTGACTGGTTCAAATCCTCAGCTGGAGGCATCACAGTCCAAAAAAAAAACATTAGCATGATCATAACTATAAACTATAAAAACCTGAAGCCAACAGCTGTGAACTGAACAGAGACGCACCTAATTCATTACTGATAGCAAAAGATATAACATTTATTTATTAAAGAATTTGAACAAAGTGAAGCTGAACCTTTGTCACTTGAGTTTTTTTTAATCTTAAATGCAAAATGTAAAGAAGTTTTGTACAGTTTTGGCTTAATTACTGCACTAAGTGTGCTGTTATTTCAACAATTGCTTTTTTTGAGTCTATAAACTCCAGTTAACTATCAATTACTAAATTAGTGGACGATTATTTCGATCATTGATTAATCACAATTCGATTAATCATTTCGACACTAATCTGAATTTAACACAAATTAAATTCAGAGTTCTGCGACTCTGTGGTTGCAGAATATTTCATCTGCAACCACAGAGTCTAAAAATGTTTAGAAAATCCAGCAAATGTGAGCACAGGAGTAGAAAAACTCACTTTCTGTTCCTTTCCTGCTGCACATCAGACACGTTCAGCTGCTTTTCAGCCAGACTATAATACATCAAGCAACCCAAATAACCTGCAGCTTTTAGTCTGAAGTTGGTAAAGATCCCGAACCAGTCAGGTTCTTGCAGGTAAACGTGAAACACGATGGTGGAAATCCCGTCGGGTTCGAACAGAACTCACCTCTGCACGGATCGTTCTTGACCAGGAACTCATCCAGAGCCATCCAGCCGCCGCCGACTCGCACCATCACGGTGCTGCGCAGAATCCTGACCAGGCGCAGCTGCTGGGAGTCGCCAAACTGAAGAGGTCCAGAGAGGAAACACGAGAGGGAAAACCCAGTCAGCTGAACTGGTAACGGATATAGTCAGGAACACAGAGAAACCCACAAACCAAAACTGGATCTACTCATGCAATCACAGAGAAAACACATGCACTGATTCTCAGCCACTCAAATCAAAGCATCAACCTTAATTTATGGACCCAAAAAGTTTTATTTTTGTAAATTCACCCAGCAAAGCTCATTTTCAAGCAGAACCAGCCCAGGAGGATTCCTCTGGACGTCTCTCCAAGCAGCTTCCCAGCTCCAGCACGCCATATTTTCACCCCACCACTAATTAGCACTTCAGCCGTGTCGCTGTCACTCGCCTCGCATTGTGCAATTAGTCAAACAAATCACAGCATGAACACAAGCGGACGGCGACAGCTGCTTCCACGTTGCACAGCCACGAAGGAGAAAACTTTTAGGGGCAGAAGTTTAGAGCCCCCTAGGGGCCATGGGGGAAATGTTTCCTTTGCAATAATGTGTATTTAGTAGTCAGTTTGTACTCCATCTTGAATACTGAAAGTCTTTCTCTTACAATATAAAGTTTTTGCTTGTAGGCATTGAATGTTTGGGCTGAAACAGTTAATCAGATTAATCATAACTAATCAGTTGTTGCAGAAGCGTTTCCCTGTGTGGGAAACATGGAAGCAGCTTCCACCCGTCCGCTCCCACCAGCGGCTGAAACTTTACCTGGTTTCCGAGGAAGAACTAGAAAAAGTCCGGCAGGAAACGGAGCAGAGGAACACAAGGGCAGGGGGGAAGAAACAGAACGAGAATGAAACATTTATCATAAACATCTTCCTGAACTGCAGCTGGAAGTTAGTGGTGAGAGGCGTGACTGCATCATGATGATGATGATGATGAGGGAAACAAACTCGCAGGCAGAGAAACGTTAGTTAGTCCAGCGTCCTGCAGGCGGACGCCGGATATCATCACCCTGAGGATGATGATGGAGAAAAATGTGATGAAGATCCAGGAGATGAAGCTGAAAACGAGGATGAGGAGTTAATGGCTGCAGCACAGAGACACGGCGGCTCCTGACGAAGGGCGCGGCTCTAGTTTACCATAAATTATTTATATAAATAAAAAATCTAACTAAACCAGAAAATTCTGCAAAAATATTAATTTAGAGAAAATGTATGTCAAGATGACCAATGAAATTTACTTAAAAGTCAAAACTTTTATTAACTTTCTGATGTTTAGACACAATAAACCATCAGATTTCATGTAGGGCTGGGAGATACGTTTAAAAAATAAAATTTCATACCAGATCCGATTTTAATAAACTTTTCTTGCTTTCTTTTCTAAAAGACAAAGTGCAAATAACAGAAAATATTTTCAAAATATGTCTTTTAATTCAGTAATCTCTTCTGTTAGTTGTTTAACCCTAGTTCTAGTTAAAAAAGATGGCCGCCTGTCCAACTGATTTCACTCCAAAACCGAAATACATTGGTGAAAAAAAATCCAGATTTTCCAAAAATGAATTATTCAAAAACCAAAGATTCGATCAATTGTTAAAACTGATTTATCGCCCAGTCCTGGTTCAATGAAAACTGAAGTTGTGGTTTTCCTCAGAGCATTTAAACGTGTCTGCAGCCTCCCTCAGAGACCTGCAGTGTCTCTGTGCTGCGTGTTCACGGTCAGGTGATGGCAGAGTCCTGCAGAGATGTGACTGAAATGTCGACACAGGCAAGATGAACCTACAAATCCCACCTGATGTGGGAAACAGGTGAAAAACGCAGCGAGAGGTTAAAGGCCAACGTGTCGTTTTTAGTCTGAATGCAGAGAAACTCTTGTTACAGGTTAGTTTTTAGTTTGTTTTTTAGTTTGATATTCATTAATTTCACTGAAAACAAAACAATTACAAACAATAGAGGAAAATATACAAATCAATAAAATGAAAAGGAGCAGAAAGAATAAAAATCGTATAATATCTGCCCCTTTTATTCAGAGAAAGCAATTAAACAATAGGAAAAAAAAGTTACTGGAGAAAAAGAAACTTTTTAATATTTTATGTCACATTAAAACCTTCTAACTTTAATTCATTTTACTGAGATTTCTAGCAAACAGTGAAACTGGCTGCAAACTTAAAGCAAGCAAATAAATAAATGTAACAGAAAAACGCTGCTTTGAGATTGATTGAATTTATCTCGTTTGGAGCTTTTACATCCAAACTAAAAGTCCTTGAGGTCAATTCAATGACGTTTGGTTTTTATAGCTTGTTTTCTTTTTAACTGTAACCTTTTGTTTGTTTATTTGTTGCTGCCTTTTGAGCAGGACTGGTTTTATTTAGGGGTATCATAGTAAAACGGGTAAGAGCACAACCAGTAAAATGTCTGGATATTTGTGGTTTCAATGTGATTTTTTCTCTTGTCACTGTTTAATTCTGTGACCTTCTGACCTTTTACCACCTCTAACTTAACTAAATTATTTGTTTTCTTGTAAATGCAGTTGGACTCTGGTTCTTTATTTTGATGTAAACCTGGATCCGGACCGAACCGGACCCACAGACTCACCCTGTACTTGTTTTCTCCAATCTGCTCCACCTGGAACCGCTTGGCGCACTTACACTGGGCCACCTGGCGGGTCACCTGCAGCGACACAAACAGACCCGGTTCAGCCGCGCTCCTCTGACTTCATCCTGCCGGGTTTGCTCTGCCGCCTCGCCGGTACCTCGTCCTCTATCTTGTCGGCGTCGGTGGTCGGCCTGTAGGCGTCCTTGTTGGGGTGAAGCGCCGCCACGAACTCGTAGTAGTCGATGTAACCGTCTCCGTCTCGATCAAAGATGTCCGCCACGGCCGACATCTCCAGCTTACTGGTCGGGAATTCTGGGAAACGCCATTTTTATGTTTTTTACTCCTTTACATTTGGTAAGACGAAACGGAAACTGAACCGGAGGAACGTACTGGAGGCCAGGATGCCGTCGATGAACTCCTGCCGCGTGATTTTTCCATCTTGGTCCTTGTCGATGCGTCGGAAGAAATCCATGACGCGGGATTTCTTGTGGTTCATCCAGCGCATGTACTTCTTCCTCCACACGTCAAAGTCAAAGTTGGCGAATTCTTTGAGCTGCGAAAGGATCAAATATTTTACTTATTATATCAGAAATAAAAAAAAATCAACTTAATTCTGAACATAGGGAGCCACAATACATTTTACTTTAGGTTCATAATCTATTCCTTATAGAATCTGAATGAATAAATGTGGAGATATAATAAAATTATTGAATAAAATCAATAATCCTCTTTATTTAAGATGGAAAAATGATCCTTCCTTCTGCAAACTGAAGATTTGTTTTTGGCTTCAGTTTTCTAAATAAAACTAATTTAGAGTCGTCTTTGGTGAAAAGACAACATGAATATCTACTATCGGAAACACAAAGCAGGTTGTAGATCTCCATTCTAGAGATCTACAATCTAGAAACGTGATTACATTTATTTTACTCCTATGTTCACCTACAAACGTTATAATCATTTTCTTTATATACAGGTTTTCTATATGTGGTTTCCTGTCTTCAGATGTAGAAAAATCCTCGTTTTTATGTTTCTCTGAATGTTCAGAAAGGGATGAATCCTTCCTCCCATCTAATTCTGCAGGATTATTCTCTGTATTATCAGCCTTCCTCTCCAACATGAGGGCCCTTTAACTGTTTGCACCAAATCCTCAGAGGTTTCCAGTCCAGTTAGCTTTATAATTATTTAAATAAAAAGGCGTCACCTCCTCCTGGCGGTCCAGAGCGTCGTTGAGTTTCCGCTGGCGGTCCAGAGCCAGCAGCCACACCTGCTGCCAGCGCGCACAGAGCTGGTTGAGGCGCGGGTTTCCCCCGGAGAGCTGCATGCTGGGCTGCTGCTGCTGCTGCTGCTGGTGTTTACCTGGGCAGGAAGCAGAAAGTTTAACAGGAACCATGGAGGTCGGCCTGTCGCAATCAGCAATAAATCAATGAATTGCATCATAAATTAAAATGAGGGCGATAGCTTTTGTTGTCATTGTGTCGCTCTCTCTTTTTGCCAGAAACTGGACAAAAAGCTCCTCCCCTTTTGTTTCCATAGCAACGGGCTCGACAAATGGCAACGACAAGCATCAGTTTTCCACCAAACGCAGTAGAGACGATTATAGGTGATCAATATGGATTTAAAGTTTTATCACAATATGATGTGGTACTATTGTGATAAAATAAGGGATAAAAACTATTTATTCTTGTGTTTGCAGCACAAAAATGCAGCAAACATTTGACGCCCAGTAGACGGTCATAGTTTACTCTTTTCTTCCCACAAAAGTCCTAACTGGCAGACTTTTCTGTTTCTGCCCAATGATGAATCCAATTAGTGCAGAAACGTAACAATCCATTTTATTCATGTTTGTTTTCTTTATTTAAAATGTCTTCCAGGCCCAGTGATAAATGTTCTTCAGAAATTAGTTTATTGGTCTTTGAGAGGGTGAATTTGCATCAATAAGCCATTTTTGTGCTACTAGTTAATATTTCTGGGACCATTAATCAGCCAGTAAAATGAGTGATGGTGACAGCAGAACTGGAAGCGAAGGACATACGAGCTCCTCTCCTCTCCGCCAGGCTGCTGGGAGGCTCCGCTGGTTTCCTTTTGTAGCTTTTCGTCACTTTGTCCACGTCTGGCTGCTTCCGGGTCATTTCCTCCATGAACGTCTGGAACGCAGAAACAGCAGAGGGGATTTAACCCAAACAGGAAATGTCCACTTCCACTTCCTGGGGTCCAGCTGAGTCTCCGCAGGCCCACCTGGTGCTCCGTGATCAGCGTTTTCAGCTGCGGGATGTCCTGAGGAAGCGGCTCCGTGTCCCTCTGGACCAGCGTGGTCTCGGCCCACTGTAACCATGACAACAGCTCCTCCAGCAGGTTGGCGTTGTTGAGCACCTCCGTCAGAGCCGTCTCCAGCCGCTGCTCGTGCTGTTTGGCCCACGTCAGCACCTGTACAGCGAAGACACATTGTCTTATTCTGAATTAGGTCTGAAAATAACGACTTTAGTAATCGATTAATCAAATATTCTGACGATTAATCGGATAAAAAATGCAGGGTTTGTTTGGGCATTTTCAAGGTAAATTTAAATGCAAAATGTACAGTATTTTGTACAATTTTGCACTAATTACTGCTGTGCATATGTCTTTTTAGAATATGTGCTTTTTGAGTTAAAGATTAATCAATTACTAAATTAGCTGCTGATTAATTGAATAATCGATTAATCGTTTCAGTCACATTCTGACCAGACTCAATCCTTTTTGTTTTAAATCATGAAACCAGGCGCCTCCCCCACCTCCTCGAAGCGCGCCCTGATGATGGTGATCCAGTGTTTGATGGTGGTGATGGAGTCGGGGTGACACACGGTCAGGATGGCCTCTCCCATGCCGGCGGCCTTGTTCACGTCGGCCCGCTTCTCCTCCACCGTTCCCATGAAGTCGCGGTGCGTGTGCAGCAGCGCCTGCAGCGTCTCGGCCTCTTCGGGGAGAACGCCACGGAAACGGAGCGTCTGCTCCGCCTCCGACAGCCACTCCAGCAGCATCTGCACCGCCGTGCGGAACTCCTCAGCCTGACGGAGGACAGAAATGAAAATTATCCAAGTTTCTCACATTTTTTTCTGGATAAAAAACAGGGAAAAAGTACGAATTGCATTTGGTTTTAGCCATCTTTTGTTAATATTTATAGCAGTGCTGTCAAGATTTTAATCAGATTAATCACTATGCCAATTAATTAAACCTAACCAGAAGGAACCTTAGGTTTTCTTGAAATTATTTAATTTTTCATTTTTGACTAATTGATAGGTTGAAGGTTTAGGCCTCCAGATCTGGATTTAAACATCCTGTACCTGTTTGAGCGCCTGCTGGAGGCGGGTCTGCTTGGTGACGGACAGAGCACACACTGTGTCCCAGCGGTTGCTCAGCTCCTGCAGCTGAACTTTGACCCACGCCGTGTCATCCCGGCCGGTCTCCATCAGGTCGCGGGCTGACCGCTTCAGAGCCTGAACGCTGCCGGTCCGCTTACCCAGTTCTTTCTGGAAAACCTGGAAATGTAGATCATGGCTGCGTTAATCACTGCTCTGTGAGCGGAGCACAGCTCTAAAAGCTGATTTCTGCCTGAGCACCTGACCCACCTTGTGTGCGTCCATGAGGTTGGACACCAGGTCCATGTCGCCGTGGACCGGCTGGTCTTCAGCCAGCTGAGGCTCAACCCGGTACAGCCAGTCCACTAACGCCTGCAGCGCTTCGGCAAACTGGCCTGAGAACAGCAGAGCCTCCTCCAGCTTGTGCTGCCTGGAAACACGAGGAAAACATCATTTAATGATTTTTAGTTAACCTGGAAAATGCAACTTTTATAAAAAACATTTGTTGATAACATGTATGGTATGAGACAGATAATCATGTCACACAGCAGTGATGACAACAAACAACCAATCAGAGCCAGGAGGCGGGTCTTAGTGCTGTCAATCATCCTCCTTATGGTGCTACTCATCCCATCTCCTCTCTTGCTCTCTGCTACGCTGCAGCTAGCATAGCATGTTATGAATGCTCAGGCTGGTTAGCATGGCTAAATCTGCTGGGCCATGCAGCAGAAGTTATTGCGATAAATGAGTAATTTAATGGTAACAGCATGACAATAACGCAAGAACTCAAAATCTCAAAGATCAATAAACTTTAACATCTAGTGAAGATTTAACACTGGAACTGGGAGATATTCTAAATATCCAAAATAAAACAACAGAAATAACAAATAAAATGATTTGTGAAGTCTCTGTAAACAAAACTGTCATTCAGAAAAAGGTTTGGTTGAGACCCAGGCAGAGTGGAGAAGGTCGACCTGTCCACAGATTATCTGTCTCATTCTGTCCAATCTGTTGACAGTTTTAAGAAATGTTGGTCATTTCACGTCTCCGGACCTTTCAACGCTCTTCCCACAGACGGTGTCCCACTTGTCCCGGACTTCCCCCACCAGGTGGTCCAGTTTCTGCTGGTCTGCAGGCAGCTGAGCCTTGTCCCTCATGGCCTTCCCTGACCTCACTGTGGTGTCGTAAACCGGCTGCTTGGATCCCAGCGCTTTCTGAAACTCCTGATTGAGGGAGAAAAGCAGATTTCAGGGTGAGCAGAGATCTGGAGTGGGAACCGGAGGAGCAGAAGCGGGTTTAGATCGGGTTTCTCTCTCTGGTACCTTGTGTTTGGTCAGCTGAACTTTGATCTTGTCCGGCTCGTTGGAGATCTCCACCTCCGAGTCGAGTCTTTTCTCAGCTTCCTCCAGCCAGTCCGTCAGCTTCCTCCAGGCCTCGTGGAACTGAGAGCAGAGTTAGCATTTCATTTCTAGCCTTTAGACTAAAACAGAATTAAATAATTCCTCTACATCTTTTTTCCGTTTTGTTGCATCAGTAAGCTACCTGCTTGGCTCGTTTCCGGGCCTCATCGAGGTGTCGGCCCCGGTCCAGGGACCTCTGGACCAGCTTGTCCCAGCGGGCCTGGACGCTCAGCAGCAGGTTCTTGATCAGAACCACGTCCTGCTTCAGACTGGCGAAGCGAAGCTGAGAGCCTGCTTTCTCCAGAGCCAGGACCTGCTCTCTGTGGGTGTTCACCTCGTTCACAAACACCTGGACGGACACAAACACATTTAAATGAACCCTGAAACCAAACGCAGATTTTATTACAGTATAAGCAAAATATCTGCCAAAGTTCAGGACATACAATCTCAACGGTTCTATGAATCTGCCAGTAAAATCTCCTTATTATTTTTACTTCTAGAGTTATTTCCTTCATTATTTTGTTTTAATTTCCACAAACCAAAAGAAGGTTGTTTTGTTTATATTTCTGTTTTTACTAATGACTAGAACTAACCGCTAATGCTAACAGCGCTAACTAAACTCGGGTACCAACAAAGTCAAAATTAAGAGTTTTATTGTTAAATTGTAAGGATAAAAATAGTAATTGCAAGATTTAAAAGTTGTAATTTTAAACTGTGCTAGACATTGGCAAAAAAGAACCTTTGAACATTGAATTACGAGTTGTTGATTTGGGCATACTCAGTCTTCCGTACCTCCCAAACACATCTGGTCGATATTTGTGTCTGGTCTAGCTCTCACCTTGTGCTCATCGATCTGGAAGAGGACCGTGTCCAGAATGAGGCTGGGGGGTTGGGCCATGTTCAGGGTCTGTTCGGCCTGCGTCAGCCAGTTCATGGTGTCCTGGAGGGACGTCTGGAAACCGGTTGCCAAGGAAACGGCTTCCTCCAGCTTCCCCTGGAGGGTTTTTTAAAGCTTAAAGTCAAAACCGTCCAGAAACAAACAACAACAAACCAAACAGAAACTGCTGAGTCTTCAGACTCACCCTGCGGTCGTCCATCTTGGTGTTGAGGCTGGCCCACTTGTTCTGCAGCATGGCCAGGTTCTGCTGGGTCTGGGTGGTTCCGGGTCCGGCGTCCTCTCCTCCTCGGGCCAGCAGCATGGACTCTCCCTGATCCAGCAGGTGGTTGTACTGTTCTGCCCGCTGGTTCAGCTGAGCCTGCAGCTCCTGCAGACGACACGAATGAAATGATCTCCTGCCTCAGGTGAGCGATGCTCTTTCTGGACAATGATCCGTTTGGAACAATGAGGCTCATTAAAGTTTGATTTGGACCATATGGCAAGTGCATCTGTGCAGACAACACCTCCTGAAATGAAGGATAAAACCTTAAAGTCCTTAAGAAAGGACGTCATAAGTAGCACCAGGACACCAAGGTGACTGGAAAATATTTCCTTGTCCTGCAAAAATAACTAAAGTATTTTTGTTCTAGTTTCTAGAGCAAAAAAAGAAAAGACAAAACGTTTCAGTGATATGAATTTCCATCGGTGGTGAAATCCGACTCTGCTTTACCATGTGCTGCTGTAGCTGCTCCCTGGCCGTTTCTGGGAGGCCTCCGGTCGGCTTGGCGGCAGACAGCTGGCTCTCCGTCCGCCTCAGCCATTGCAGGAACTCCTCCAGCTCGCCATGGAAACCTTCAGCCTGCAAAGCGCCGGTGTGGAGAGGGAAAGGACTGGATTATTCACAGCTGCGCTCCTCAGAGTGATTTCCCTGGACGTGGGCTGGGCGTACCTGCTGCAGGGCGGCCTCCAGGAGCTTCTGCCGCTCCTGGGTTTTTAGCAGCAGACTCTCCCAGCTGCGGTTGAGCTGGTCCAGCTGGTCCCGCAGGTGGCTGGCCTCGTCGCCCGGAGACGACTCCAGCAGCTCGGCGGCGGCGCTGTTCACAGTCTCCACCGTGGCATGATGGGACAGCACGTCGTTACGTAAAACCTGGTTTACACGGAGATTTAAATGATCAGAAACTTCCAGAAGATTAAAGGTGACCTATCCATTGAACAGGTAAATAATAAAATCATTCTTAGATAATGAGGTTCCAGTCTTCTCATTTCAGCTGCTTTAGTGCGTCTTGTCACTTTAAATCCAAATATAAGAATTTTGAACAGCAGGTCGCCTTTACAACGCAGACTGCAGACGTACGTGGTGTTTCGCCAGCTCGATCTCGATGGCTTTGGGGTCGGAGCTGACGGGCCGCTGCGTGTCCAGAGTGGTGTGGGTGTGGCTCAGCCAGGCCTGCAGCTCAGAGAGAGCATGCTGGAACTGACCAAGAGCCAGCAGCGCCGCCTCCAGCTTGTGCTGTGGAGAGAAAATACAAACAATGAACCTGTTCCTGGGGCTGAAGTGATTAATCTGATTAATCAATATCTGAAATAATCGTCAACTACCTTAGTAATCAATCGCTAAGCTTTGTAATTACAGTAATTAAGTCAAAACTGTTAAACTATTTACACATTTTGCATTTAAGATTAAAAACAAACTGTAAATTTGCTCCATCCTCAAGTGACAGTTTTAGCTTCACCACGTTCAAATTTTGTAAGACAAACAAAAAAAACACCCTTAGTTGTCCAATTATTAATCAGTTAATCCAAAGAAATAGTCTCCAGATCAGCACTTCACTGTATTGATTGATTTGTTTTAGCTGCAGATGGATCCTTCGTTTTAAATTATCAAATGTTCTCTAAAGGAAAGCAGTTATTGCATTTTAGACAAAAGTAATGCGTAGAAAATTAATTGATATATTCAAATTTCTAATGTATTTCTAATACTGTATTTAAAAAAGCTTAATTTATTAGATAAAACATCTGCAGAATGTTCAAATTTTTAAATTCAAATAATCTATTAATCGCCAAAATAATTTATTAATCGATTAAAATAGATGCTAGTAGCAGCCCTGATGGATTCATCACACAGAGTGACTTTATTTCCTGTAGAATCTGTAGGAGGTGCCATTTTTTAATCTGATTAATCGTCAGAATAACTGATAGATTAACTGATCACTATATTCTGCCTTATCTGTTACTAGAAATCCGTCAAGCAGCGTTGTTTCCGCCCTTATTACCTGTCTCTGGGTGATTTTATCTCCCAGATTCTCCCAGAGGTGCCGCAGTTCTGTCAGCGGCTCCTGGATCATGTCCCGGTCCGTCTGGTCCGACACTTTCTTCAGCAGCAGCTCCCCCTGGTGGCAGAGCTTCTCCATGTCGATCTGCTGCTGGTAGACGTCCACCTTGTACTGCTGCTCGGGGCGGTGAGCGATAAACAGCCGGGTCAGGTTTACGGTACAAGCCGTTTGCGGTACTGATCAGGAGGAGATCGTACGAACCTTGAGCTCCTCTATCTGCTGTTTGACTGTTCCCAGATCGGTTCCTACGGTCGACATGTCGCACAGCTTGATCACGGCGTTGTCCAGGTAGTCGAACATGGACTGCAAACACAAAGAAACGTAGTAAAACACGAGCTCTGAATCTGAGGAGTGCAGCGTAACCATGGCGACCCTGAGCGGACCTGCAGCGCGTCCTGGTACTGAACTGAGGCGGTCATGGCCTCCTCCAGCCGCTCCATCCTCTCCCTCCATGTTCGGTTCAGACTCTCCCAGGCAGCATTCATCTGGCAGGAACACAGACAGGATGGAGAATCGGTTTGTTCTAGTCAAATCAATCTGGAAATATTTTCTTCCATCTGTGGAGCAAATCTGAACCGGCACCAAAAGGCAGCCAGACACACTGGACCTTTTCCTGAGCTGCCAGATAATGGGATGCAATGAAATAAAGAGCAAGATGAAGCATCTATGACTGCATCTTAACGATGATGGTTAACACTGGTAAGCATTCTCAGTAATATTTCTGACAAATGTATTTTAAATATATTTAGTTTTTTTCTTTCAATTAAATTGTTAATTTTTCTTTTCCTAATCAAATTATTTGAATTTTTCAGTTTAAATCGCAACCGAACAGCTTCTGATTGGTCAGGATGACATGAGGAAAATAATATTTTCTTTCCAGTTTTCTCACCTCATCGATGGTTTTCTTGACTTCAGGTTTCTCGGTTTCTCCGCAGGCGAAGATGAGGTCAGCCCCGAGCGTCCGGACGAACTCCAGCTCCTCCCTCAGGCCGTCCGTCTCCGCCTTGATGGCCTGGTAAACACAACGACGAATGTAAGCTTTGACAAACAAAGCAGAGAGTCTATTCCTGTTAGGATCATCCTCTGAACCTCGGCTGCTTCGATCTGCTGCTTGATGAGCGACGGGTCCACCCCGGGGTCCTCCAGCTCCCTCACGATGTCCTGGGAGTCTCTGAGCGTGCTCAGCAGAGCCGCCACGTCGGCCCAGAACTTCCCGGCCAGGTCCAGGACGTCGTTCAGCTTGCTCTCTCTCTCCTCGGCTCGCTGCCGGATCTCGTCCCAAAGGGAGCGCAAACGCAGGAGCCGGGAGCGAACGGCTGCAGGACGGAAGAAGAAGACGAGTTTTACTTCTTCTAGAGCTGCAACTAACGATTATTCTGATGATTAAATGGATAAAAAAGGAATATAATACATATTTCTCACTGAACCAGTTATTACTACTCAACATAGGACAGATCTGCTCTGTTAGCCAAGCTGCTAATTTGAACAAAGTGAAGCTAAAACTCCTATTTGAGAATTTTGTACAGTTTTATCTTAATTACTGCTCTTCAGTAAATTGTCTTTTTTTGATTAATGATTAATCGATTACTAAATTAGTGGGCCATATTAGTGTATTAATCGTTTCAGCCCTAATTTCCTGAGCTTTACGTAACAGACGCATCGCGGCGTCTCACCCTGAGCCGCCGGGTCGTCGTGCGCCGCCCGGCTGATGAGCTCCTCCCCGCGGCAGCAGAGGGCGGAGAAGCTGGGCAGCAGCTTGTCCAGCTCCAGCCCCTGAGCGCGGTGCTCCGCCAGCTGCTCCCGGATCTTCTCCACCTCGGCGGCGACCGGCGGAGGCTGTCGGAGCCTCTGCACCGCCGCCTCCAGAGTCTCCAGCAGAGGATCCATCTTGTCGTGGAACTGAGGGGGAGAAACGAAGAGGAGGATGAAGAGGAGGACTGGAGTCTGAGCAACATGTTGGAAGAGGGAAATACTGAGATATGAATGCAGGGGGGTCATTACAGAAACAGTGATTCCCAACGTTTTAACCCCATAAAAAGGTTACACTCCTCGTCCTAACTCTAAATTAAAGGCTTTTGAAAGTGCAGGAAGAAAAAAGAGAACGACTGCAGATGTTAAATAACTTCACCAAACCTGAAACCGTTCATTCCTCCAGCAATTACATGATATCCATTCATAAATTTATTTATTTTACTTAAAATTAGTTCTGCCTGTTCATTCAACAGAAGCTCTGATAAACCTACAGCAGGTAAACCTTAAAAGAAACTAAAATCAGGATTTATTTTCTATCCAGGTTGTTTTTATCATGATAAAAACTTGTAATGACTTGCAGGAAGTTTCTTCTTTCCAATGTTGCTTCAATTATTTTAGGGTTACAGATATTTAAAGGCCCTACCACAGCATTTCAATCAGATTGATGTCTGGACTTTGACTAGACCATTTAAATACCTTTATTCTTCTGCTGCTGCTAAGGATCATCATCCTGTTGGCCCAGTTTGGACCGGGACTCTAAGTCAGGCTGCCATTTTTCTTTTTTTGAGAAAAAGCTTTCAGAATCAGAGTTTAAACACAAACAAAGAATTTGGTTCCACTTTGCTCTGAAAGAGACATTTTTAAAATATATTTATTTTTAAATTAGGACATTTGAATTCATTATTCTTTTATCCTTATTTTTTATTAATTTTTTTAGTGTAAATATAGAAATCAACATAGATTTACTTCTAATAAATGTGCATATATAGTCTTTTATATTTATTTTAGAAGGTTAAACTCTAATTTAAACTCATATTTTCCTGCTTAATTATTATGGAGGCTCTTTAAAATGTTTGATTTACTCATCACTTATTCAGAAAGTGGATTTTTAACAATACATGTGCTGCTAAAACAAGAGGTTGGGAATCACTGTTCCTTAAATAAAATATCTCAATGTCACTTTAAACATTTCAAAACTAAACACTAGAACAGGGAAAAGGGACCAAACAGACTGGAGGGAATATTTTACACAAAAACAAAATATTAAGTCTTGATTTTTGTTTTTCAGGAATGAAGGAAAAATACATCACTACAAAGTAAAACTAAGGGAAACATTTCTGCTACAACAAGACAGACTGGGAAAACAACAAGCAGTACAGGAACATCTAAACAAATTTCATGTGAAAAAGTTTTATATTTTTTCCCCACTGCAGAAAGTGAAACAGTGAAATATTTGAAGCACTTATTTCTCGTAATTTCGGTGATTCTGGTTCACAGAATGATTATTTCAGTAATTGATTAATCAATTATTGGGTTTTAAAAAAGCAATATCCTGCAGATATTTCTTTTAACCCCTTAAGCCTTTTAATATAGCATAAGAAACACATAAAAACTTAATTCAGTTCCTTTTTTAAATTAAATAAACTTGTTTGCAGAAACATTGCATTCAATTAGAAAACGATTAATCATTTGTAGCAACGGATGCATCTGCAGCCAAGATCAATATGTGAAAACCATTCAGTGCAGTGCAGGGCTGATCTTTTGGATTATCAGGGTAATAAATAAAAAGGAGATTTTTGTTTTATATAATTTGAAGCAGGTGAGGAGTTCTGGGTAAACTTAATTACAGCTCTGAATCTATCGTTCTTACAGTAAATTCTCCTTTATGGAGTCTCTGTACTCAAGGTAACAATTAATCAATGACTAAATTAGTTAACGATTATTTTTACTAATCAATTAATCGCGATTAATCGTTTCTGCCCTAAAATCTATATAATATTTGAGTTTCTCTTTCTGAAATGAGGGACAGAAAACACAGAACTTTCAAAACATTCTTATTTTTCAGACATTCCTGTACTTTAGGAGGATTTTCTTTAAGTTTTTGTTTGAGCGTCACAGAGCTGAACCTGAGCAGAGAGGAGCTACTTTCTATCTGAGTGGAGGCTTGATGTCTTACCTCTACCAGCTGGGTGATTGCAGTGAGCAGTGACCATGGAGAAAATGGAGGTGAGGGGCAACAACACACACAGCAACATCCCACAATGAACGAGGGGCGGTGGGATTAGGGTGGATTAGGGTGAGAAGGATGAATGTGGAGAGGAGGAAGGAGACAAAGATGGAGGGAAAGGTGTGGGTGGAGGAGACATGGAGTGGTTTAAAGGAGGGGTGGAGGGTGGAGAAACAACACGGTGAGTTCAGACAGTCATGCTTTCAGTTGCAGAGCAAACAGCAGCAACAGCGCCGATACGATGAGATGAGAAATTAGACCTGAGCTACATTAGAAATGATGCAAAAACAACCATAAACCACTGACTGCTAGTTAAACGAGCTACTATAACAGATTATCATGTGTTCAGTTAAAAACAAAATGATGCTTCTGTAAATACATCATCTCCCCTCATACAGAAATTCAATATCTGGATCATAAAAGTAGCCAGACCTTAAAAAAGGTAAAACTGTGCCGTATTTTGTAGCTTCCTGAGAAACAAAGTTTTTTACAGGTTCCTGAATATTTTAAACACTTTTTACAGTCAGTTTTTCAACATGTTTGAAATG